AACCCTTGAAGCTCCGAGCCCGACTGCCCCAAATTGGCTCGGCCCCACTGCCCAGCGCACTGCTCAGAGCTCACACGGCTGAGGGGGCAGTGCAGATTAAATAATGAACGCTGCTGGGCACGGCTTTAGCTCTGAACTACACACTGTCACACAGGAACAAAACCCTTAACGAGGATGGGTTCCTCTTGCTGGCACAAGGAGAGAAGCAGAAATGTGACAGGAATATTCTTCATCATTCTGCCCGGGCTTTGTCAAACGCTCCAGCTCCTGCACCTCACGAAATAACAAGCAGTGCCTTTGATGTCAGTGAGCAGGTTATTATGGATTAATCTCACACTGGAAAGCAGCCTTCACACCCTACTGCTCTTTGCATCACCCAAAGATTTTGGAAGCTGCTGCCCAGGATGCTCCTGAGTTGTATCTTCCTTGTCAATCTTATCTGCGCCTTGTTTAATTGTAAAAACATAAATAAAATGCAGGGATCACTGGCCCAGGTTCCCAGGACTTGCATGTCTCTCCAAAGAAGGGGATAAAAGAGTGTTTGTCCCAAACAACAGAGTTGAAAAGTTCATGTTGTCTACATATATTTTTTAAAGGAAAAGAGGAAGAGTAAAATATCAATTACTGTGCCAGTGGTGCTCCAGCCTATTTCTGTTCTCTTCTTTACATTGTAGCATGTCCAAGAATAATTTTAAAAACCAAACCAAAGAAACAACAACAAAATAATTTAATTCAAACTGAAGGAGAAGCAATGTGGCTGCAGGTTTGTGGCACTCCAGTGCCTGGGTTCCAGTAAGGGAGCTCATCCCCTCTGCAGTTCCAAGCCCAATCCCAAAGTCCTGAGCATCAGCTTTCAGCTTTTTGAACACTGAAGTGTAAGAAAAGCTGCTGGGGAGGGCCATGCTCCAGGCACATCTGTGCCATTTCATCTCTCCAGCTCCCTCAGCTCAGCTCGGCTCTTTTCCTCTCCTTGCTGGCTTTGGCTCAGGCATTTCTTGAGGGGCTGTCCTGCACTGATCAGAGCATGAACTGACCATCAGACAAACAGCTTCTGGCACTGTGGCTCTATCCTAAATGGACCATTGCCCAAAGGAATTCCAGGGCCTTAATTTCACTTAAAATGCCTTTTAAAGGAACCTGGTTTGATGCCCTCCATTTCTAAGCAAGGAGTGCACAACGCTCCTGTACTCCCTGCCAGTGTCATTCTTTGAGCCTTGCAGAAAGGCTTTAAAGCAGCACAGAGCTTAAGCGCCAACAACTTCATCCAAAATTCAAATCAATAGCACGGGCAGAGTGTGACTTTAAAATCTATTTTTAAGACTGAATTAAAGAGCAGTTGCATTGCCAATCGACAAGATGAGAAAGGTTTCCTTAGCAGTTGTTGAGATGACAAAATAAGGGAGAGGATGGAGCTTGGAGTGGGGGAAAGAAGGGGAAAACCTTCACTTGCACAGTGGGGTTTTAACCATCATCTAGGAATTGCAGAAACCATTCTAATCTCAAGAAAGGAAAAACTATCCAGGATAGTTTTCATTTCAGCAAGTGCCTAAGGAAGCCCTCAGCAGCAGGAGATTGGGATAACTGCAAGGCTGGTGTCTGGAGCAGGGTGTGCTCCTCAAAGCCAGACCTTTACCCACAGCAGCCAGAAGGCAGAAAAACAAGGATGCGACAAAGCCTTAAGTGGGGAATGGGTTATCAAGGGTTTTGAAAGGAAAGAACAAGATCTGGGAAACAGGACCTGGAAGGTGAGAGAGGAAGGAAAAAGGGAGACCCCTGAGGCCTCTTGAAATTCAAAATGAGAAAAGAAGAGAGGAGGAAAGAAAAGGCTGTGACTAAATTCTAACTGAGCTGGGGTTGGGTTTAGAGGTAATAGAGGGAAGCTGTAGAAAGAGGAGATTTCTTTATAGTAGCAAAGTACTGGGATAAATTCACAAGAGAAACCGTGAAATCTCTATCAGCAGCAGCTCTCTGCAAAGAGGTCAGGCATCCATTCCCCATGCCAAAACCAGGCTCAGGGAACTTGGCCAGACAACATCCCCAGGTTGATCCAAGCCTCATTTTCCAAAAATTGCTCAAAATTATCATTGTGCATTAACAGAGCAAAGTCTTTTTTTCAGCTTATCAGGCTTTGAAATGCCTCAGATTGAGATGCAAACCCAGCTCCTGTCCCTTTGTTGTGCTCAGACTTTCCCCCTTTCCCTGACCCAATCTCTTTAGCAAGCAACAGCTCATCGGGAGCCAGCCAGACCAGGGGCTTTTCCACAGCTTGTTCCAGGCAGAGGAAAGGAGAAACATAAAGACAATGGAGGACAAAAGGGAGGCTGTCCTGGAAAGTGCAGCCTGGCAACCTCCAGACAATGAAACACAAAGCACTCGGACAGCTCCTTGCAAGTGGGGGGCTCACAGGGCTGGGGGGGAGTAGCTCTTTTTATACATCTCACATCTCACCACAGCCTCATCCCCAGTGTGGGCTGTTTTCCTCCACAAAATCCATAGGTGTATGCTTGCATAGGAAATTGCTGAACAACTGCTTAAAAAAATACAGGTGGGAAAGGGCATTTCTGCCTTACAGACCAGCTCAGGTGGGCTGGCTTAAAAATTATATATATATATATATATATATATATGTCTGTATGTCTGTATATATATATATACATACATATATATATATATGTATATGTGTATATGTATATATAGATAGATAGATAGACAGATAGATAGATAGATGTGTGTGTGTCTGGTCCAAAACTAGGCCAGTAAATATATATTTATATAGCTCCAAACCTTTCAAACCCCAAAATTAACTGAGCAGAATTGATTTTGTTCCTTAAAATTGTGTGGTTTTTAACCAGTTCACACAAGCACCAGTCATATTTTCCCCTTGCTCACAGGGCAGGGGATTGGCTGCTTTGCAGGAGTAGAAATCATCTCCTAAGGAGACCCCAGCTGAGGCTCATTAGGGTCATTAAAGCTCATTAGGGCCCTCAGGTGCTCACTGGTCACACCTGGGACCTCTTGACCCACACAGCCCCAGGAAATCTCTCTGTTCAGGGATTTTGGAGACCTTTGAGTGCCACCAGTACAATCATGTGGGAACTGCTCACTCCCCTTCAGTTTTTCTCTTCGAGGGAAGGATTGATGGAGCTTGTTGGTAGAGTCAGGGCTTTCCCTGCCACTGCAATGGCAAAAAGGGAGGTGTCAAGGCAGGAGAAGGTGCTGGGGATGGGGTGGGGGGACTTTTGGAGCTGAAGGTCATTTAGAGGAGGAGGAAATTGGGGTTTGCAGGCTGTGATGCAGCAGCCCCTGTGGCTTCCATCCAGGCGAGTGCAGCCTGGCCACCCATTGTCAAAGTCCAGCCTGATGTCACAGCTCAGGGTGGTGAGGTCCCTGTGTGCCTCTCTGACCTGGGCACAGTGACCTGGGCACTCTGAGTGCCCCTGCTCTGCTCTGCCCTGCTCTGCCCATGGGTTTCAGAGCTGCCACACCAGGCCCTGCAGCCAGGATCCCCCCTGGTGGTCCAGCAGCCAGGGCCCTTCACTGGACAGAAATGGGAGACCACACTGGAGCGATACACGAGGGGCTGGGGGAGCACCCAGGATTCCAGCAGCACTGATTTTAGAACATTCATCTGCCCATAGGTGTCCAGAGTTCCATAAGGCACCTTTCCAAGAGCATGGCAACCCCAGATGGATTTGAGAAGAATGCTTCACAAAGCTTTTAACTCCCTCTGGCTTCTTCTGCTTTATTCTTTTTCACAGATTCTCTCAGTGACAGAAGGAAGAAGCAGGTTTGGAGAAAGAAAAACCGGGTTTTCTCCCAGTTTTTCACATCCTAATTCTGGAAAGTCTTGGCAGCCAGACCTAAACAACCAACCTGCCAAAGTTCAGCTCCCCTTTCAGGCCTCATTATCAGCAGGGTTTTTTCACAGGCTATTTCTGTTTGCCTTTCCTCTCCAGGTATTTTATTGAGCTGCAGCCAGCAAACATTCTGGGACCTCACCTTCAGGGCTCAGACCCTCCACAACCACCTCACCCTGAAATACTTCCTTTTCCCCCATGCTGGATAAACAGCTAAGGCTTCCTGTGTTCAGCAGGAAGTTTTCATGCTCTGCGAAGTGTGCTTTGCTCTCACTGCACTGCAGAGCACAGATCCCCCAGAGACGCAACATGGGTTGTGTTGGAAGGAACCTTAAAAATCACCCAATTCCAACCCCCTGCCATGGGCAGGGAAAATTTCCACCATCTCAGGGTGCTCCAAGCCCTGTCCAGCCTGGCCTTGGACACTTCCAGGGATCCAGGGGCAGCCACAGCTGCTCTGGGCTATGGGCTTCTCTGCCCTTGCCAGGGGGTTGAGAGAAAATGGTCTTTAAGGTCCCTTCCACCTCAAACCATTCCATGAGTCTAGAAAAGCTAAATGAAAATTCTGAATAGAATTATATTATTCAAATTAAATATGGGGCATTTGTGCTTAAAGACCACAAAAGACCAAATGAAGACACCATAAATAGGAAAGCTATAACTGGAATTTTCCCAGGTTTCTCTCAGCTGGATCTGCTTTCATTTTCTGATCACAGTAGAGGCCCAAAAACCCAGTGGTGATGCAGAGCTGGGAGATTTGCCCTTGAAAATGCCAACACACCAAAGTCCTGGGGTTCTGATCCCACTGCAATATGCAGATCACTTCCAGAATGACACGTGAAGTGCACCCCTCTTCCACCACTTCATTCTTTTTAGCAAAAAGCCTTCCCAGGACGCTGATCTGGATCAGCAGCCCTTACTGTGGTGTCTTTAGAAAACAATTTAACTCAGCAATCAGAAGGTTCATGCACTAATAAAAATGTTGTATGGTCAGTGGGCCAAGGGGTTTAGAGATGGATTTCCCAAGCCCTCTCCCATTTCTTTCTGGGGGTAGCAGTGCTCCCCGTCCCCTCCAGCCTGGCCCTTTAAGTAACTTGAGCTCCAGGCTGCAAATCCCAGTCTCCAGCTAAAAGGATGGAAAAGCTGTTTCCCCCTTCCCCCTTCTGGGGCTTTTCTTTTGAAAGGAACTGTTTTCTATCCTGTGATGGGAAGAGACAGATCTCCAAAAGACAGAGCAGCTTTCTGAGCATCCCCCTCCCGTATCAGGACAAACTGACAATTCCTCCTCCCCTCAATGCTTCTGGCTGCTCTTTTTCTCCCAGCTTTCCTCCCCTCCCGCCGGCCTTTGGCTAACCTCAGCTGATTTCCAAACCCTCCACGGCTGCTCGGGGTTGGTACAAAGGTTTAATTATTTCCCTTTCCCTGGTTAAGGCGGGGACGGGGAGAAGGTCGGGCCCCATCGCCCGGCACTGCTGATCTTGGCACTTTTGCTGTGCGGTTCCTCTCTCCCGGCCCCCTCCCTTCCCTGCCTCCTGCCCACTGGATGGGCCCTGGAGCCCTCCATGGATCCACAGGCAGTTCGGGGATGCTTGTGCCTGCTTTGCTTTTCCCTCCTGAGAGCAGCAAAAGGTAAGAGAGGCTTTGGGCTGGTTTGGGACCAGGGACTCGATGGGGTCCGGATGCCCGGAGAGGTGAGATGCTCTCCCAGCATTTATCCTCCCAGGCTGCAGCCAAGCAAGCAATAGACTCTGGCAAACTGCACACAGCGTGAGCATCTCCTGAGGCTGGGAAATTCTGGGGATTGTGGAAGTCCTTTCCATAATGGGATGGGGAAAATCAGAGAGCGGGAGCTTTTTAAACTATGCACAGTGCAGAACTCTAAAAATTCCTCAGTCTGTCTCACAGAGGAAAGCCCCAGGGACTGAGCTGGACTTCCATTGATTCATTTGTTGTTAAAAGCAGCAAAGCTGCAAAACATTTCAGAAGTCCAGCAAGTGCATCAAATTTGCAAGAGAATTTCAAGTGACTTCAGAAAAGTCAGTGACAAGTCAGTGACTTTTCAAGTGACTTCAGATTTGACTGGTTTTGTCATGGCAAAGGCAACCATCCCCCCTTCAGTCACACTTGTATATGAGCAAGAGAAGGGACTTCAAATAAGTCTAGAAAAAAAATATTAAAGCAGAGAGTTTTGAACTAAAGCTGTCCCACCAACTTCATTTTGCCTTAGCACTGAGACAGTGATTTAATTAGGAGTTAGAAGTTCCAAATTGAAAACTCATAAGATGAAGGATTCAGCTTCTTTTCTCCCCTAAAAGTGTTGATTGTACCCTAGTTAATGCCCAGTGCTGAAAAGGCACTGGAGATATCCCTCCTGTCCATGGATATGCTCAGGAAACTTCCCTTCAGGATTAAAGTGTGTTTCTTTGGCATTTCTAAAAGTGCCCAAGCAGAGCTGCTGCTCCAGCCATCCTTTTTGAGGCAGGGCTGGAAACACGAGCAGGAATCAGCTGTCAGCCTGGAGATCACCCAAACATCCAAACCCCAGGCACAAATATTTGCCCAGGAAAACCTTCCCATGAGCTAACCTTTCCTCCCAGGGGGTGGAGTGACCCAGGTCATCAGCACCTGCAAGTCCAGGTGCCCTCTGGGATGGAGGTGATCCATTGTCACCATCGAGTCAGGAACAGCAGTGGAAGTGACACAATTCCATACTGATCAGAAGACCAAAAACTTACTTTATTACAGTCTCATGATATTTATAACCAACACAATTCATCCAGAATCTGATTGGTTTTTAATAACACTTGTCACTCACTTGGTTAATTAAGGAACTGCTGTTGTAGGGGTTTCTCTGATGTGAATGTAATTAGTATTGACTCTAAGATGTAGAAGGTTAAATGATTGTTTTATTTTTTATACTATATTATTATTATATTTTTAAGAAGCTCATAACTTTCTTTAGTTTGTTTGATACAGCTTTGACCTTATTGGTTAAATAATTAAAACACTATTGCTCTTTGGTAAATAAATCTCTATAACACATTCTATATATGCTTAGTAACAGGTGTAGCAGGTGGAGATAAGAATTGTTTCAGTTCTTTCTCTGAGCTTTTTCGCAGCCTTCCCCAGGGATAAATGCCTGGGAAAGCCTGTGCCTGCTCTCTGTGGCCAGAGAGCTGCTGCCACAAAGGACCACCATTCTAAACTCCTCATGAAAAACAACTGTTCAAAACACCAGCTGCAAAACCTTAAGATAAGAATTGGTTTGATTCCTTTCTCTGAGCTTCTCACAGCTTTTCCCAGGACGATGCCTGGGGAACGATCTGTTTCTCTCTCTCAGCATCCACAATCCACGACTGCTTCCCTCCAATGCTTCCATCTTTCCCCAGGGAATCTGCTGCCTTCTTTCCATCCCAGGAGCCTGTATCAGTACCAGTACTCCCTGGCTGTCCAGCTGCAGCACGCCTCCACACCATCCCCGTGGGGGGCCCAGCTGCAGGCTGAGGCACTGATCCATCTGCAGCAGCTCTGGAGGGACCCAGGCGGGGAGGAGCCGCTCCAGCTGCAGGTGGGTACAGGGGGATACAGGGATGTACAGCTATCCCAGCTAGGAATTCTTGCTGGGAACACCCCAGGAGTTGAAACCCTGTTGGTTTTTCTGGGTCTGGATTGAAGGCACTTGAGACAGTAACTCATGTTCAGATTCAGGTGTTTATTATTTCTTATCAGTAAAACAGTCTCACTGCTGTGAGTTTGGCCGCTGTGGTCACCAATTGTTGTGGTGTTGTGGGTCCCCAGGATGAGGTGAGAGATGAGAATCTGACTGCAAGTTTTTAGAAGACTGATAGTACATTACATATTACTTCTTCTTCTTACCTCCCCGTCTAGTTCTGTCTTACCTCCCATTCTTGTTTCTTAAAGTCCCCTTCTTGTTTCTTACACTCTACTAAAGAGAGAAAGGAGACATCAGGAGGCTAGACAAGAATGAATAATAAAACTCATGACAGACTCACAGAGTCAAACACAGCTGGCTGGGATTGGTCATTAAGTAAAAACAAGTCATATGGAACCAATCCAAGATGCACCTGTTGGTCAGCAACCTCCAGACCACATTCCAAGAAATCAGATAATTTTTATCATTTACATTCCTTTTCTGAGGCTTCTCAGCCTCTCAGGAGAAAAATCCTGAAGGAATTTTTAGAAAATATTACAGTGACAGGCAGCTTTTCATTAGAAGGCACCAAATGGCCAACAATCTCTTGTTCCAAGGGCTTTTAAGACTAAACTATCCAATTAAAAACTGACACCTGGATAATTTTCCCTTTTAACCCAATAACTGATCCCACAGAGCTGCAATGGGGACTTTTCCACCCAATTACAAAATGCCACCCATACCCATGGAGAAGGAGGAAGAAGCAGCAGGAAGAAGAAACCCAGGATGACACCCTGTGCCCTCCATCTTGCTTCCATCCACAACACACTAAAAATCCCAAAACCTCAATTTCTCACCAAGTGATACAGCTGCACTGCTCTCTATAATCTATTGCACACTTTTGTGGGTTCCAGTCCATTCTGGAGTGTAGGAAACTTTCTCCATGAATGAGGGACAATGTCAGGGCTCCCCTGGGGGTCAGGGCACCCCAGAGCACACAGAGAAATATTCCCACTGCTCTGGGTTTCCACACAACCCCCTCTATTTCTAGCCCATGGCGGCTGAAAAATGATCTCTCTGACCAAATTCACTGCCTGCAGGGGAAATGCACACCAGCCTCAGAGCAGACACTTGGTCACTGCTTTCTGCCATACTCTGCTGTTGTAGATCCATGACCTGAAGGCCCAACACCAGCCAGAAGAGGAGAGGAGCCAGGACAGCACCAGAGGCTCCCCTGTAGAGATTGCACTGAGCCCAGAGGCACAGGCAGAGCTCCAGCAGCCAGTGTTCATCTCCTGGAGCAGTGGCAAGGTCAGCTGGACACCTCCTGGGCTTGTTCATGCCCTCTGCAAAGCATTCCTGTCTCATCCTAGATTTTCTGGGCTATGAGGCCCATGGGACCTCCTGCTTCCCCTCTGATTTCAGAGCAGAAGGAACTGGCCAATGTTGGACCCTACAAGGAGTCCCATGTTCCAGAAGGACTCACCTGGAGCTGCAGAATCCCATGTTAAAGCTCTTCAGCCCTAACCATGGGATATAAGCTCCTTTCTGTCCTTCTCCTCTGAGGCTGTGGAACCCCAGGGTGGGAAGGAAAGGGAAATTTTGTGTTCTTGTATTCACAGACCTCATGCTATTGAGGGATAAGGGCCTCCTTGAGAAAATTCCTCAGGTGTCTGCAGGGTGTTCTCAGGTTCCCTTTTGTCAGGGAAGGCAGCAGGGGGCTTGCAGGGACCCCAGAGATGTCGCCTCAGCCAGGCACCCCCTCCTGCCCTCCCAGGTCAAAGCTTTCTACGGGAATGAAGCAGAAAACATCCTGATCTCCAACCTGAAACGAGGCATCACCAGTCTGTTCCAGCTTCAGCCCCATGCCAGCACCACAGTGGAGGTAGGTCCAGAGCTGGGACCAAAATCCAGAGATGCACCAGGAGAGCTGGCCCTGGAGCCCAGCCAGCCCACGAGCTTCAGCAGAGGGGGCAAAATTCAGGATAAATAACATTGGGTCTGCTGCTCCAACCGGGCTGTGAGCAAGGAAGACTCTTGGAAAGGCAGAAGAGTTAAAATAAAGTAAACTAATTTTCAGCAATTGGCACCCCTTACAAAATCACAGCCTTTCCCTGGACAGTAGGAACAGCAGAGGGAAACTCCACAAGCATTCCTGCCAATAGGATTTGCTTTGCCAGCAGCCAGCTGGAATGACCTGTGAACACCTCAGAACCCCAAATGCAGTCACTGAGATGGTTAATTAAATCTTAATTTAGAACCTGAATTTGCAAAGATGACTGGATGGACTTGGACCTGTTCAACCAGCCCCTGATGGTTCTCACATTCTGGATTTTAGCTGCTGTTCTCTTTGCTA